TAATGTGCAACGGATCCGTTCAAGTGATAATATGGCTGATTTGTTCACCAAATATCTATCGGCATCAACCTTCAAGAAACTAGTATACAAGATTGGGATACGAAGGTTCAACGATGTGAACTGATGATCTCATCAGGGGGAGTTAATACGCGTTGTACTCTTTTTCCCTTACAAGGTTTTGTCCCATTGGGTTTTCCTTGCAAGGTTTTTAACGAGGCAACCAAAAGGCGTATTTCTAAATATATGTACTCTTTTTCCTTCATTAGAATTTTTTTTCCCATAGGGTTTTTTCCTAATAAGGTTTTAACGAAGCACATTATTTATGGACATCCAAGGGGGAGTGTTATGATAAAAATCAAAATATGGTGGATGTCTACTCTTCCTCCATGATCTTTCCCTCAAATGGTTAATGACATATTCAATGACATATTTTCTATGTTAAATGACATATTCCATGACATATTTTCTTCACTTTTCATGCCTATATAAAGGCTTTGTAATAGATAGGAAAATACACACAATTTAAGAAGAAAATCTCTTCCTTTCTCTCTATCTATTTCTTGTTCATGTTTTACTAAATTGTCTTTATTTCTTGTTCATGTTTTACTAAATTGTCTTTATTTCTTGTTCATGTTTTACTAAATTGCTTTTATTTCATAACAAAATAAAAGTTTATTCCAACTTAGCTAATATATACTAAACACATATTCATATTATATCCTGTATATCTCATTTTGTTTAGTCCAACGAGCCAAACATCTACCAATAAAAAATAAATATATCCATTAAATAATCCCTTATTATTTGATCTCTGTTATTATTTGATCTCGTTACTTTTCCTTTTGCACTTGCATTATATAATCCAAGTAGAAGATGTGACATTAGTTTAAAAATACTTTTTTAAGGGGGTGAATCGATTTGTCCTTACAAGGACATTCTAAGCAACTTTAGCTAGATTTTCCCCTCCACCTATGTACTACTTTGTTATAGTTTAATGATTTTTCTTTTTTAACGAATAAAAATGCATATGGTAGGTATAAGGAGTACTGTATTCGTACAAATATCAAACATGTTCGCGTATATTCTCGTGATTTTACTTAAATCTTCAATCGCCTTAAAACCTTTCTACTACTATATTTGTTACATGAGTTTTTGGAATTTTATACTTGGATTAAGATTTTCT